TGAAAATGCCTCTAAATTGATCTGTTCTTCAAATATTGTGCAACATAAGCACTACAAAATCTGGTTATTATGGATTTTACTGTGATTCTATCCGAAAAGAACATGCAAACAAGACGACAACGATGTGAAGAGCGAGAGCAATCTTACCGATTCAATTGACAAACTATTGCTAATTCCACAAGAGTGCAGAAGATGAATATCACCGAGAAAATCATCCATACATCCAAGCACTGAAATCAGATTTTAAGTTGTTTAAGACGTTCCTTTCAGATCTCCTTTATATTTATGTTCACTACACTGGCTGCACTGAGAAAACCCTTAAGAGTCAATCTTCATGGTGACTACGTATTGATGAATATTTATGAAGTTCAAGTATACGAATATTGATGAATATTATTTGAATAATTGATTATTGAGTATATTCAATACTGACGGAGTGAAAACCCTATGCTCATTGGTCGACTAGATACGATCGCGAGTTCAACGAAAAGTGCTCACGATCAATAAGATGTGAGTGCAACTGACCTTAATATAACTAACACGAGGTAGATGGCGTAAAACATTACCAAATTGGAACGTTAACGCAAGTAAAGATGAAACACCCAATGTAATTCTGAAATGTACGATTCATTACATGCAATGAGGAAAAAAAAGCGGTTATTGATATCGAACGGAAAGTATTGATAGTGACTTTATTAAGTGCTTATCAGTGTACACAATGAAAATTTCAAAATGAATGAAACTTTATAATTTGAAGTACCTTGCTGATACAGAGCGCACATCAAAGAAGAAGCCAACCCAAGAGCTGATAACTGTGAGCGAAGTTGGGAAGTACGATTGAAACAAGTAGAATCCATATCGACGAGCAAATGTGAATTTTACCTGAAAATTAGAAAAACATTCCGAGGAAATGATGAAGAAACTAGCGCATTCAACAAAGTTGAGCTCATCAAGAACTATGGACTGCAATCATAACTTTAGAATTTTGAATTGCTGAATAACTTTTTAAGAGGGAGTTTCCAACGATGAGGATATGTAGCGTTTTCATGGCATTGCATAACACCTTTTCAGTAGAATGTGAGCTTTGCAAAATTTATTATCGCTTTGTACGTGAACATTGTTCATTGAAATGTATCTTCCACAAACGCAACATGAGTGCAACATTGTGCAGTGCCCACAAAAACAAAAAGTGTGTCTTACTTGTGCTCTGTCCCAAACACCGTTTGGATATTCGAGTCTTTGGTGATCAGTACCCCAACCGATTAAATCAAAATCCGGTAACTCAACCCTCTCCATCATTGTGACTGGAATATCGTGCCATAGGAGACGAACCTGAAAAAGATTTTATGATGTGGCTTCCAATAATCTAACTGTGTTCCAGAGCGATTGTTTCAGAGCGATTCATTTGTAGTGAAGTGTAAAATTGTACTGAATTCATATTTTTGATGAATTCACTTTTTGATGAACTCATATCATTCGTTGATAGATAGAAGAAACAACTGAAGCGTGAATGAATTAATACTACAAAATTAATCCTTTTCAGCGTACCTACCGACATGAAACTATGCGGAATTCAAAAGAATTTACTATGAAATAATCGCCAAAAAAAGTTGTGCTAACCTCATCAGTATTGAATGAATAACTTTCAAAGACAAGTTGACATTGAATTGAATCAAATGGAAACATTTTCAGATCCATTTTGCATGGTGCCTTCACATTCAATCTAAAAACAATATCGTAATCAATGTCACACTTCTACACCCCACAACATCGTCAG